ATATGTGTGTGTGTGTGTGTATATAAATATATATATATATATTATACATCTATATGAATGAATGTGTATATAGATGATATAAAATGTATATATAGATGACACTCCTAACATACATGTGTCACCATCTGATCAGCCTTCTCCTTGGCATCCATTCCGAATTTCGCGTCGATAAACATGCGCCCGGATACAAAGTCGAACGAGTTGTCGGTGTGCGACACACAGTACAGCCAACGCTTTGAGAGGTCTGAGCCATTCACCTTTAAGGATTGTTTTTGATATTGGTATTGTTACGCATATGCATTTGGAGAGAAAATAATGAGTTTGATAATTAGCTCATGAGCCAGAAAATGTAGTAGTCATAGTTAGATCGGCACGGGGATGAGGGAGCTGTTAGTGTGTGATAAAAGACGCAGTACAACCAGCACGTTTGACAGGCCACAGTCATGCTAAACCTGTGCAGATTGTTCTTGTCAGTATATATATTTAGAGTGACGATTGCGGGTACGAGAATAAGATCAAGAGCCAGAAAATGCCACAGATAGGGTTATGTGCACATGAGATCGAGAGAATTCTTGAGTGTACCTTGGAATCGATACTCTTTTAGAGTATTCAACAATCGAGATGCGAACAAAATCTGATACGCTTGCAAATAAGGTATGGCATACCTCCTTCGAGAAAGTGTTGTACGCTTCGCGGACCTTCAAAGCCAGCGACCGTATGTTCCCAATGACCACCCTGAGCTTCATGTACCTGGAACAAAGTAAAAACTACCCATGAGTGCAGACAGAACCAAATGACTCGCAGCAAGGGGGCTACTGACAACCTGCCAGCTACACTGCGAGGTATGACGCTTCACTTGTATACGCTCCACTTCTAGCCCGTTCACACAGCTAATAACATCCCAGCCACAGCCACCATTGTGCTAGCACAACCTGACCTACAAGTTAAGTATCTGGATATACCACATCCAACCCCTTCACACAGCTAATAATATCCCAGCCACAGCCACCACTGTGCTAGCACAACCAAACCTACACGTTAGGTATCTGGATATACCACTTCTAACCCCTTAACACAGCTAATAACATCCCATCCACAGCCACCACTGTGCTAGCACAACCTGACCTACACGTTAAGTATCTGGATATACCACTTTTAACCCCTTCACACAGCTAAAACATCCCATCCACAGCCACCACTGTGCTAGCACAACCTGACCTACACGTTAAGTATCTGGATATACCACATCCAACCCCTTCACACAGCTAATAATATCCCAGCCACAGCCACCACTGTGCTAGCACAACCTGACCTACACGTTAAGTATCTGGATATACCACATCCAACCCCTTCACACAGCTAAAACATCCCATCCACAGCCACCACTGTGCTAGCATAACCTGACCTACACGTTAAGTATCTGGATATACCACATCCAACCCCTTCACACAGCTAATAATATCCCAGCCACAGCCACCACTGTGCTAGCACAACCTGACCTACACGTTAAGTATCTGGATATATAACTTCTAACCCCTTCACACAGCTAATAATATCCCAGCCACGGCCACCACTGTGCTAGCACAACCAGACCTACACGTTAGGTATCTGGATTCACCGCTTCTAACCCCTTCACACAGCTAATAACATCCCATCCACAGCCACCACTGTACTAGCACAACCAGACCTACATGCTGAGTATCTTGGGATCTGCAGCACCCAAAATAGCCTCTAACTTCTCGAAATATACCGGCACCAGAACTATGACCTTGTCCACTGGCGCAGGCAAGTTGAGCGCGTCGAAAAAGGCGGCAAAGTCAAAGGCAGCTGACGCCGGGATGTCCGAGATTGGCATGGGATTGTAGATGGCAATGGGATCTCTTAGCTCTACCGGAGGTACCTGGTATGTACAGGGGACAGGTCTTAGTCACAGCCTTCTAGTTCATTCGATTCGTTCTCTGTCGTTTGGACGGTCATGCCCTACCAAAAGCCCTTTAAATCATACATTTAGAAATTAATCCTTTCCTAATACGCACCTGTATATCCGCAAGACTCTTCTCAAAGTCGAACAGTTCCTTTGCTTTCAGCGCATTCTGCTCCATATCGCTTGTGCCGGAAATCCCAGTGAGCTCTGGATCAGAAACCAAAAGTACGTGTCAGCAAAACACACAGATATACACAAGTGTGTACTATTGCAAGTCAACACTACAACCCCACTACGCTGGAGCTTTGGTTGCCACAATTCTCTCAAGAAACTCTGCTACGCTGGATGTACAGGGATACCCTATCTCACTAATCGATTCCGTAATATAATACGCGTGCATACCGGGACGCAATGCAGACGCTAGCAGATATGCGTCTGCTTGTAGATTTGGTGCAGGCAGAGTATACACATCTGGCGCGTGCAATCATCTCTCTGGACACCGCCCGAACACCTTTGAGAAGGAATAAAACCGGAAGCTGAATCTGATACCACTATGTACATCAACTTGGCACAGTACAAACCCATACAAGCACACGCTATATACACAGTATCGAACACCACATATTCGTACATGGACCTTAAGAGAACCTTCAAATACACCCATACCAACACAGTCCAAGTACAATAAACATCATATCCAACAGATGTAGAAACTATTGTTTTCTATATCCTTGAAGAATCCACGCACGCACAACAACCATCCGTTCCACCTACCAAAGAGCTGCACAATGAAGCTCACGTACGCGTCTCTGTGGTTGTCCATGGCGTAATACGAGGGATCGGGGAGAAGCCCAGACGCTTGGCCCAGATACAAAGCATTTCTAGTTGCCTGCGATGTAGTTTACAGAGGGTACGTGGGCCGTGAGGTTGGTCGTGAGGTTTAGAGTGTATACAGATAATAGGGGTTGATCTGGGCTTCAGGTTGAAATTGGTTAAAATCGACTTCGATATACGCTATTATTGAGTTTCAAACGCGTTTGAGGTGAGGGTGTGCTAAGGTCGATTCCTATATGATTTAAAGAGGTTCAGTCGAGTTGAGATTAAAGTGTACTGAAGGCGGCTTCGACATGGTATATAGAGGTCCGAAAAGGGGACACAAAGCTACTAGTTGCGGTGGACAGTCGCATGTGAGCACTACTGTAGCCAAAGATGTAGTCACCTATAGTGCTTGATCATGACAATATATTAAGTTTGGTCAGAGCTATAATATTGATACTGAAACTGCAACGAACCCCACAAATGAATTGCTCATCATGTAAAAACCTTAATGTTACTGCAAGGACAACTAGTAAATGAAACGATGTCACGTCTTGACGGGAGTGTGTGGAGTCATGGCTGGTTGGAGTACAATGACTTTACTGATACACATGTAAGCTTAGGATAAGCCTTATCGTACTCAAGACACCGATAAGTCTTCTTACCCGCCAGCATAGGCACATGCTTGGTATGTACAAGGTTTAGCAGATACACATATATGCATAGGTTTGGGCGTAATTTTTTTCACAGGCATGGGGGGAGTGCAAGTATAAGATAAGCCCAATACACTTCCGCTGGTACAGGCAACGACGAGCAAATAGACCCCTGTACCTGTGTGCTTGTAAACCTAATACCATGGAGACACCTATCAATTTGCTTCTCATCTCACATCACCATGGTTACGGGTACCACACCTGCATGCAGGAGACACACACACCTCCTTAAAATCAGAGAAAACCTCGACCTTGAAGAAGTGCCGGATGCCACTCAGCGTTAACTCAGCCACAGTCTGTGTCAATGTGCTCTGCTTGAGATCGTACTGGATGATTGGGCGCCACTGGGCAATCAGACCCTCACTACTGACAGCCTCGAGGGTGTCCACATCCATGCACGACTGGTAGTACTTGTGTGCCAAGTCGATGGTCATCTCCAGCTCAGTCGCGGGCGCGGTTTCGCCAGGCGTCTCGAGAATCTGCGAACAATGATGGATAAGTAGAGGGACAGTGTGGGTAATGTGTATTTTGTACCTGAGTCTGCAATCACACACACATACCTACAAGGATATATATATATATATATATATATATATATATATATATATATATANAACACAACATACTAATAACTAAACAACAACAAACACACACTACTACTACTACTACGTAC